AGTGCCTGTGGGCTGGATCCCTCCGCTCATCCCGGAGCTAATGGAACAAAGGGGAAGTGCAGAGGGAGCTGGTGCAGCACAGAGAGCGCTGGTGGCCACACGGGGACTGCTGCCTTCAAAGGGGCAGAAAGCTGCACACTCTGCAGCTCTGCAGCTCAGCCTCTCCAGTGGGATCTCCTAGAGCAGTGAAATGTGTCCGAGGATGCTCTCAGGACCAGCCCACAGCCCCTGAGACCAGCCAGCTGTGTCCCAGTGGGACGGGGTGTGAAGGGTCAGCGGCACAGCCCCAGCTGCCAGAGACCCTCCTGTCAAAGAAGACAAATCCCTGTGGCTCCAGGTGTGTCCCTTGTCCCTCAGGGATGTTCCCACCGTGCAGGCAGAGCAGAGCAGGAGAGCAGGGACAGCAGGGGAGATACTGGATCTCCAACTTGTGGGAGTCCAGGGCTTCCCTCTGGCTGCCCTGGCAGGTCTGGGACCCTGGCAGGGGTCAGGAACCCCCCTGGACAGAGCCCCCAGAGACACTGGCTGTGATCTCTGTCCATGGAAAAGAGTTTTCAATCTTACAGCATGAACTACAAGCTCTGAGTGTTTGATATAAGTAATAATTAAGTGTGGCACGGGTGCAAAAGTAAAATTTTAGGATTCTAGATTAGGGGTTCAGAGGGGACAAGATGGAGGAAATTGGGTGTGTCTTGTCCTTTTTCTCCTTCTTCATGCCCTCCATGTTTCACTGTGGTGTTGGCATTTTTTCTGTTGGTTCAGGCTGGGGACACACTGTCCAACGTAGGTGACAGATATTGGCACGTTATTGTAAATCCAGCACAGGTAGTTTGTGGTATTTAATGTTTGTACCATCCCACTGAGGGCAGAGCCCCACACGCTGCCCTGCAGGACAGAGCTGCGGCAGGGCAGCAGAACATGTTAGAGACAAACAGAATAAACAACCTTGAAAGAGCACAGACCAATTATGGCTTCTGCTTTGGCAGCAGGGCTGAAAGAAAGAGACTTTTTACAATCTTGGAATCATCAATACCTCAGATTCCGACACCACCTCTCCCCATTTCCTGGCCCCTGTTGGAGGTGCTGAGCTCCCTGTGCTCCTCCTGGGGTGGGACGGGCCACAGGCAGTGCCTGTGGGGCTCAGCTTTGCTGTGGGTGAGCCTGTCCCTCCTGCTCAGCCCAGAGCATCTCACCAGGCACTGCCCCACTCCCACCAACAGGCAGAACCCTCGTGGGGCTCTGGTTGAGCGTTCTCAGCCTCCCTCAGCCCCAAATCCCTCCCCGTGCTGCTGTGCTGGGCCAGCTCTGTCTGTGGGAGTGGGATGGGGTAATGGGGCCTTGCAGCGGGCTGTGAACATGGGGGTGCTTGGCTTCCCCTGCCCTTCCCTGGGCCACCCAGAGCAGCCCAGAGCAGCCCAGCTGTGGGCAGGGCTCCAGGCTCACCGGGAGCCAGGGGCTCCTTGTCTGGGCTGCCCCACGCCCCAGCTCCCCACACCCCAGAGCTCCCCAGGGCAGGAATTTCTCCTCTGAGGGGGTCACCAGGAACTCTCCAAACTCCTCAGCTCTGTGTGGGTGCTCTGGGGCCCACAGCAGGTACCTCCTGATTTTTGGGGAGGCCTCCTCCATGGGATGTTTGGGACACCCTTTGGAACACAGGGGCTAGGCATTCCCTTCCAGGGCCATGAATCGGAGTCTCCCAGGCGTGGGTTGAGCCAGCTCAGCCCTGCTGGCTTCACCAGCTCACCTGGACAGCTGGGATGGGGAGGGAAGTCCCTCGTGGGCTTTGTGCAACCTCTTGAAGGGTTCCCTGTGCAGTCAGGGCACTCCTGTGCAGCCCAGACAAAACAACAGGATCAGCTCCTGGTGTCTCAGCCTCTTTCTGCACCTCCAGAGTTTCCTCTTGAGGACCTGAGCTGACCTGGGGCCCAGGTCTGTGCCCAGCTCTGCCAGTTCCAGCTGGTGTCCATCCCCTGAGCACCTCCCAGCGCATCCTGGCAGGGTGGGATGAAACGTAAACTTTAAGGCATTTAGAGATTTTGAGGAGCTAAGATTTTAGTTAGAAATAAGCCTTACTAGAGTTAATTAAAATAATAATAATAAATGAGTAGGCCTTGATGAAGTTAGGAGTTAGTAGTTAACTAATAATTAATTGCTTGTCAGCACAATGTTTAGTTAGCTGGGTTTATAATGAAGAATATAGAAACTGATAAATAGCTTTTAGGAACATAAGACAATTGTGGCCTCCTCTGTTCTGAAACCAACTGAAGACAAGGAATGGGAGTTCTACCAAGAGTTCATTTGTCATACTTGCATTGAAAAAGTAGAAAGGTCAGAACGAGGAAGACTTCATTTACTTCCTCATTTTAGGACCCCTCCCCATGAAAGGGACCACTGACCCATTTCAAGGGACAAACTACGCATGCTTAATAGCTTTTGGAGTGATTGGCATATGAAGTGGGTAATGGGATGTACCAAAATTATGAATATGCATTTGTATTTTGTATATTCAATACTTGTATGGATAAAAAGACTCTGTAATCACCTGGAAGGTGCGGTGTGTATTTGGGAGCGATCCCGCACGCTGCCCGGCGTCGAATAAACACACACTTTGTAACTTTAAACTGTTAGAGAGTTTTTGTCCGTCACAGTTGGATATCGATACTAGATCAATATCCATATTTTTTTTAATAAATCAGGGACAGGAGCAGAGCTGGCAGAGTGGCAGCCACCAGCCCCTCTGTGGCCGTGGGGCACTGCCAGCACCTCGTGTGCAGCTGGATGGGACCTCGCAGGACCTCAGGACCTCACAGGTGCTCCCCCATTTCCTGGCAAAGCCCAGAGCAGGACTGGGGGGATGTGCAGAGCAGGACTGGGGGGACATGTGCAGAGCAGGACTGGGGGACATGTGCAGAGCAGGCCATCCTTGCAGCCCTGCTGGGGACTGTGTCTGCCTGCTGGCTTGGCTGTTTGCAGCGAGGCTTTGGGCTCGTGCCTAGGAAGGCATTTCCAAAGGGCAGGACAGCAGGGCTTCCCCAGCAGCCAGGATTCCCAAATTTGCTCCCCAGGCTGGTTGTATCCTGGGGATCCCCGTGCCATGGCTGACTGTGGGGTGCAAATCAGAGCAGCACAGAATGGTTTGGGTTGGAAGGGCCCTAAAGACAACAGTCAAGGACACCTTCCACTGATCCAGATTGCTCCAAGCCCCAGTGCAGGAGAGCAGCCCCTCTTTGGAAGGGTGTCCCTGATCCAGGCTGCATTCCCAGCACAGCTCAGAGCCTCTGACCTCTCCTGCCCAACCTCTTGGCACAAATCAAGTCCCACCCTCGCAGCAGGCTGCCAGCCGGGCTCGCATGAGAGCTGTGGGCTGCTGGTGACGTGGTGGCATTCAGAGATGGCACTGGGAGAAGGTCAGTGCGTGCAGAGCAGGCACAGGCTGTCAGCACTCGGCTCTGCTGAGCCTCTGCAAGGAGGACAACCATGGATGGAGAATGGGGCCGTGCTCAGGAGATGTCTGGAGATACCTGGCACGGGGGGGCTGCAGTGCTGGGAGGAGAACCAAGAGAACCAGGAGATCATCCTGGAGGGCTCTGTCCTGTTCTGGCCCCTCAGTTTGGGAAGGACGTTGAGACACTTGAGCTCATCCAGAGGAGGCAATGAGGCTGGAGAGGGGCTGGGAACACAAACGCTGTGAGGAACGGCTGAGGGAGCTGGGGGTGCTCAGCCTGGAGAAAAGGAGACTCAGGGCTGACCTCAGCACTCCCCACAGCTCCTGGAAGGTGCCTGTGGCCAGCTGGGGCTGGGCTCTTTCTCCAGGAGCTGACAGAACCAGAGGTCACAGCCTCAGCTGCCCCAGGAAAATCCAGGTTGGGTGTCAGGAGAAAGTTTTTCATGGCAAGAGTGACAAAGTTCTGGAATGGCTGCCCGGGGAGGTGGTGGAGTCCCCATCCCTGGGTGTGTTTAAAACAAGCCTGGATGTGGCACTGGGTGCCAGGGTTGAGTTGAGGGGCTGGGGCTGGGTTGAACTCAATGGACGGTCTCTTCCAACCCCTACCACTACAGCAGTGACCCTGAGGTAGGACATGTCTGAAAAAATACTGGTAGAAGTCAGTAAATCCATTTATTTATAGAGTGGCCAGGACAACGTCCAGAGATCTGTGTCCAAGTGAGACCATGGCTGCTCACTGTCCACGGCTCCTGACAGGAGGGGACAGCCGGGGGGTCGGGCTCTGCTCCAGGGAACAGGGACAGGAGGAGAGGGATCGGCCTCAGGCTGGGCCAGGCTGGATTTTAGGGAAAATTTCTTCATGGGAAGGATTGTAAGTCACAAATTGTCCAGGGCAGTGGTGGAGTCACTGGAGGGGCTTAAAAGATGTGTGGATGTGGCATTTGGGGACATGGGTTTGCACTGAGTTTGGAAGTACTGGGGGAATGGTTGGACTTACTGGTCTTAGGGGACTTTTCTTAACTCACAGAATTCACAGAATCACGGGGTTGGAAAAGACCCTCAAGACCATTGAGTCCAGCCCAGCCCAACCCCTCAACCAAACCCTGGCACCCAGTGCCACATCCAGGCTTGTTTTAAACACACCCAGGGATGGGGACTCCACCACCTCCCCGGGCAGCCATTCCAGAACTTTGTCACTCTTGCCATGAAAAACTTTCTCCTGACACCCAACCTGGATTTCCCTGGGGCAGCTGAGGCTGTGACCTCTGGTTCTGTCAGCTCCTGGAGAAAGAGCCCAGCCCCAGCTGGCCACAGGCACCTTTCTGGAGCTGTGGGGAGTGCTGAGGTCAGCCCTGAGCCTCCTTTTCCATGATGATTTTATGGTTCTGTGACCTCCACATCCCAACCACCCCCATGCTCTGGGTGCAAGCTCCCTTTCACCAAACATCCCACCTCCCCCTAGGTACCTCTCCTGTGTTCCTCAGCTTCCCTGGGGGCACCACCCCCCTCTCAGCCCAGACACACAAGCACTGACGGCAGCAGCAGCCCCACCTTGTAATATTTAAAACAATTTTATTCATGAAAATATGCTGTACAATGCACTATACACAGTTCTTTACATTGCCACATACACAAACTCTAATAGCACAACCAAGAAAGTTACCATTGCCTACGATAGATGCGTGTGAGAGATGAGACCCTCCCCCCCAGTCTGTACAGTTATAAATACGAGGGAAACAGACCCAAAACCGCTGGGAGAGGCAAACTGGGGGGGCCCTGGCTGTCCCCCCACGCCGGCTCCAGGCAGGGCAGGGCGGGAGCAGGGAGGGAGCTCCTGGTCCCCAGAGGGGCACTGTGGGGTGGTGGAGAGGGGAGGGTGAAGCTCTCACCGATTCCAGAGAGGGAACCCAGAGCCTCAGCCAGTGACACAAATCCTGGTGTCACCTCCCCAACGGGGCACAGCCCCAACACCCCCAATCTGTCACCACCGCCCTCCTGCACAGCCCCAACACCCCCAATCCGTCACCATCACCCTCCTGCTCACCATGTCCCCCCTGCCCGGGTGCTTGGTCCCCTGGCAGAGCCAGCCGTGCCATGAGCCCTGCAGCCACCCCGCTGTCCGTGCCCGCCCCTCGGCCCTCGGCCCTCGCCCCGCAGGACGACTGAACACACGACGTTACCAACACGACTGCACCGCACACACGACAACCCCACGGTCACGAACCACGACACAGCTTGGCCAGGGGCCGTGCCCACGCAGCGGGGCGGGCACAGGGGGCAAGGGGACAAGGGGACACTTCCCTCCTGCTGCTGGGGTGGCTCCCCCGCCATGGGGATGGCCGGCCAGCCTCTGTGACACCGAGGGGGGCTCGGGGACCCCCGCGTGGGACAATCCCAGCTCCGTGCCCGAGCGCTGCCCGTGTGCTGCTGGGTCTGTGCCTGCAGGGTGGATGGCTGGGGGAGCCAGGACTGCTTCCCTTTCTCCCATTCCTGGGGGGCAGAGCCCCCGTTTGCTCTCCTCCTGCCTCTGGGTCCCTCACACCCACATGCTGAACTGGGGGGTCGGGGATTAAATAGCCATTTGCAATCGGTTTCCAAGGGTTTGAAAGATGCCTGAAACGAGAGGTGGTGTACAAAAGGAATGCGGTAATGATCCTGACCAAAGAATAATCCTTTTTAAAAAAGCATTCAAGAAAGATTATATATAATAGAATATATTAAATTCTGTACATGATCAAATAATGTAAACATAATTAATTAACTTGTAAGAATGTCTTTAGAGACCGTGCCTGCCATGCACCCCGGGTGAAGGTGAGCACATGGGGCTCCTCTGTCACGCTCTGCCACAGCTGTGTGCGTCAGGAGAGGAGCAGGAGGTGCCACCCACGGGTCCCCCTGCCCTGACCTGGGGCTGCCACGCTGTCCCTGTGGCTGCCTGGGACCCAGAGCCTGCTCCTGGCAGAGGAGCTGGTGCTGGGGCAGGAAGGGATGAGCTGGGCTGGGAAAATGTGCTGGTTCAGTGCACTGACCCCGCTGCAAGCCAGGGGCTGGGGGTCACAGGGAGCCTGTGGTGCTGAGCAGAGACCCCCCAGGACAGAGCAGCAGCTTCCACCGCCTCCTCCCAGCCCCTCCATCATCTCCAGACCACTGGCTCCTGCTGAAGCCCTCAAACCCTGCTGCTCCTGGCAGCTGTGCAGAATGGCCGGGGCATCCCTGGCCCTCTCCTGCCCCACAGAGCACTGGGGTCAGTTTGGGGCCCTGACACACAGCAGGACCACGTGCGAATCGTGGTCCCCACCCCCGAGTCCAAGCCCCTGGCAGGCAGGTGCACCCCTCTTGCTGACAGCTCCTGGATCAGCTCTCCTGGCACCCCGGGGTGACACAGGGACAGGCATGGTGGCACTGACCCCCCAGGAGCTCCACAGCCCTGGCTGGGGCCCCTGTGGCACCTCCCTGAGCAATGTGGGCCACCCAAGCTTGGAGCAGGATGGAGCCCACGCTGCATCCAGAGGCCTGGCCACCACACAGCCCCTCCTCGAGGACAGCCCACATCACAGACCCCCAGCTTTCACCCCAACATCCAACACCCCCCGGGCCAAGCCAGGATGAGCCATGTGATGGGACACAGCCACCAGCGCTGCCCATGGCCTCTCTCTCCTCTCCCTAAGCTCGACCCTTTCTTCCTTCCAACGCAAAAACTCAATGGCAAAAGAGTGCATGAAATCAAATAAATACGCCCCCCTCCCCGCCCCTGCGAGCTGCCCCCCAGCCTCCGGCTCAGGGGACCCCCACTCCCAGCAGGACCCCCCTGCAGCGTGCCCAGCCTGCTCCGGGCAGGGGCTGCAGCCTTCCCTGGCACCCCCAGGCCCCGGGGGCTGCCGAGATGCCGCTCCCAGGGCTGCTGGCTGCACACCACCACCACCCCCTTCTCACTGCTCGGTAAGGAAACCTGCCAGGAGCCACACGAGGACACCGGGGGTGTGGGCTCAGCAGAGCTCCCATCTCCACCAGGCTGAGGGGTCACGAGCCCCCCCTTGCCCTAGGGCAGAGCCCCCACTGCTGACAGTTCTACCCAGAGGACTCATTTCCCAAGGTGGCTCAGAGAAGAGTTCTTTCCCAGGGGGAATGCCCATGCTGGGGGGGGTCCCACACCACCAGCCATCACCACTCTGTCCCCCAGCCCAAGGGCAAATCAAACTGGCACCATTACCATGGGGCACTGGGACTGTCTGGAAAGGCTTTCCCTTCCTGCTACCCCCTGGATCTGCTTGGCTCCGGCCCTGTGTCCTCCAGAGAATGCCGGCAGGACCTGCAGACCGGGCACACGTGGGGCTGGAGGTCCTCCCCCATCTCAACATTTGACCCTCCGGCTCGTGTTTCGTGTTCGACCTTAAGCTCAGACTGATGGCTCTGGCCTATCTTAACAAACAAAGGCAGAAGAGAAAGGAAAAAAAAAAGTTAGTCTCAATGTTCCCCTCGTGGCTTCCCGGTGGCGAGCCCGCGCCGGGGCAGGCGTCACCCCGGCACCCAGCTCTGGTTCGTGGGCTGCGGCCCCCCGGGCAGCGCGGGCACGTTGAGCCCGTTCTGCGGCGGGAGGGCCGAGTCGAAGTTGAAGTCCATCTCGTCGCTGTCCATAAAGTCATTCAGGATGATGGACTCCACGTCGCACTCCAGGCTCCCGTTGAACATGTCCAGGTCCAGGTCTGCTGGGAACCTGTCTTGGCCCAACACAGGGGGGTGGACGGCCCCCGGGTAGGGGCCCTGCAGCGAATCCAGCAAGCTCATGTGTGCCCCTTGGTTATTGGCGTAGGAATGCAGGTGCCCGTGGTGCGGCACGGCCGCCATGCTGCACGAGTCACTGGGCAGGCTCATAAGGCTGACAGGATTGGCTAAGGCACTGGTGTTGACCGCGGGGTGGTGGTGACCGGCTGGTGACGGGTGGTACAACGCGTTGCTCTTCATGAGAGAGCCCGGGTGGGGCGGGTAGGGGGACAGGCCCTGCTCCCCGCCCCCGCACAGCAGCGGGTTGTGTCTGTGGCCACGGGCCGGCACCATGGGGCTGGCCTGCGGCGGGGGCAGGTCCCCCGGGACCATGCTCTCCTTGTGCGCGTAGGAGATGGAGGAGAGCAGGTCCTGCAGCGAGGCGTTCCTGTAGGAGCTGGCGGGCGAGAAGGTGGCCTGCTTGTTCTCCTGGATGGTCTGCATGGGCAGGCGGCGCATGAGGCTCATGGCCGGCTGGCTGTAGATGGTCCCACAGTAGGTGTTGGAGGCGGCCCCCATGCTGGAGCACTTGGAGTTGAAGGTGAAACTGGAGCTCCGCTGCCGCAGGGCGGCCGGGGGGAGCTGCTGGGATGGGCTCATGCTGTAGCCGTCCTGCAGGTCCTCCAGCATGCTCTCCCCCAGGCTCTCGTTCAGGCTGATGGTGCCGGTCAGGTCGGTCAGCCGGGGCAGCTCCACGGAGCAGCGGGCGCTGAGGGATGGAGACATGGTGCTGGAAGGGCTGGGGTACATCAGCGGGGACGAGGGGGTCCCGTCGTCCTCCTCCAGCTCATCCGGCTCGTGGTTGGCCATGATGGGCGAGAGGCGCCCGCTCAGCGTGCTGGCCGTGGAGTTGGCCCGCGTCCGGAAGTCCGCCCAGGCGTCGTACTCGTCGCTGGCGTGGGACGCGGGGCTCTCCGACCACTTGGCTTGCTGCGAGGACGGGCTGTCCTCGCCGCGCTCCTGCGTCACCTGCAGCTGCTTCTTCTTGCTGGCCTTGCCCTTGATGCGCAGGAACTTGCTGTTGTTGTCCATGGACACGGCGCGCCGCCGCGGCGTCTTGCCCGTCTTGCCGCCCTCGGGGTTCAGCATCCACCAGGAGCTCTTGCCGGTGCCCTCGTTCTGCACGCGGATGAAGCGGGTGTGCAGGGACAGGTTGTGCCGGATGGAGTTCTGCGGGGACAGCAAGGACAGCGGGAGGGTCAGCAAGGACAGCACCCCCGAAGGAAAGGGACGCCCACGGGGCTGGGGACACGTGGGGCACCGTGGCACAGCTGGGCTCCATCCCCCGGACGTCTGAGCCGAGGTTTGGGGCTGGCAGAGCTCGGCTGGCAGGGCCGTCCCACACGCCGTGGGTCACAGCCCCGTGCTGCGCCCGCCAGCTCTGTTTTTGGCACAATTCCCGTCATGGCAGGGATGGGGAACCTCTCGGCACACATCCCAGGGACCCTCGGCAGCCAGGGCCAGCTCTCAGAGAACCTGCCTTCCCTGGCAGGAGGGACAGGGTGGAGAGGCAGCAAAGGCAGTGGCAGAGTCAGGACCACACACAAGCCCAGGGCTTCTCCATCCATCCCTCCGGGCCCAGCCCATCCCACAGGACGCTCCCAGTACAGCCAGCAGCACCTCTGAGGAGATCCCAGCCTGCTCCCCACCAGCTCCACAGGCGGGGGGATCCCTTTGGAGGGGACTTCAAGCCCCTTCCCCTGCCTGGCATCATTCGGGATGCGCTCCCATCCACCCTCAGCACCGACACGTGCCCTGGGCAGGGCACAGCAGCAACACCACAGCCCAAAACCTGCTGGCACCATGTCAGACCTTGTCCCCAAATGCCTGTGAGAGCAGCAGGGCAAGGGAGGGGATCCTTCCCCTTGGCTCTTGTGAGACCCCATCCGCAGAGTTCCCTCCAGCCCTGCGATCCCCAGCACAGCAAGGACATGGAACTGTTAAAAAAGGCCCAGAGCCGCCCCTGGAGCTGCTGCAGGGCTGGAGCCCCTCTGGAGCTCCAGGCTGGAGAGCTGGGGGTGCTCCCCTGGAGAGGAGAAGCTCCAGGGAGAGCTCAGAGCCCCTGCAGGGCCTGAAGGGGCTCCAGGGGAGCTGCAGAGGGACTGGGGACAAGGATGGAGGGACAGGACACAGGGAATGGCTCCCAGTGCCAGAGGGCAGGGCTGGATGGGAGATTGGGAATTGGGAATTGTTCCCTGGCAGGGTGGGGAGGGGCTGGGCTGGAATTGCCAGAGCAGCTGTGGCTGCCCCTGGATCCCTGGCAGTGCCCAAGGCCAGGCTGGACACTGGGGCTGGAGCACCTGGGACAGTGGGAGGGGTCCCTGCCAGGGCAGGGGTGGGGTGGGAACACCTTTGAGGTTCCTCCCAAGCCAAACAAGAGTAGGAGTCTCTGACACCTGCCTCTCCCTGCTGCCATGCAGCTCAAGGGATGCCACCCCAGCTCCCTGTGCCTCAGTTTCCCCAGAGGAAAAAGGCAAGATGCAGAACCCAGGGAAGGGTCTCAGTCTGCAGCACAGAGACCCTTCCCCAGCTCTGCCCAAAGGCTCGGGGCTGGCCGGGGCTGCTGGAGAGGGGAGGCACCTCCCCAGCCCCTTCCCAGCTGCAGGAGGGGCAGAAGGACGAGGAGGAGGAGGAACCCACGGCAGAGGGGAGAAAGTTTGGTGCTGTTGTGGTGTACAGTGGAATACTAATGAAGAGGCAAGTGAGCTCCAGCCTCATCTATCATATTATGTAATGGCTTACTTCTCCGCACTTCATTTATTTGGAGATTGCTCCCAGGCTGGCTCCTCGCCAGCAGCCACCAAATCCAAGTCTACAGAAATCAATCTCGCACTGACTGATTAAGCCGTGTTTAGAACTAATTGCTCCTTCGTGTGTGGGGGGAATAAATTACGGGCTTTAATTTCACATCTTTAAAATGCAACTGCAGGTATGGGCCAGCCATTAACCCCTTCCTGCATGGCTGGGGAGGGGGCCCAGGGGCTGCTTAGGACACAGCTGCCCAACCCACGCTCACCACCTTCGAGCAGAGCAAGTCAAGCTCTGGCCAGCCTTCCTGGCAGGGAGAGCCCCCCTGACCCTCCCAGCACCTCTCCTCAAGCCCCAGGATGACCCAAACTCCCTTCCAGGACCCAGCCATCGGTCAAGCAGCAGGGACAGAAGCACAGCACGTGGCTGTCACTGCCCTGGCAGGGCCAGAGCCACCAGCCAGCTCAGCCCCAGGGCACTGCCCTGCACCCACAGACAGTGGGGAGCTGGGGATGCCAAAGCTGGGCTTGCTGCAGTGATGCCAGTCAGTGCTGGGCCCCTGGCAGGAGTGGGGACCCCCCCACGGCCGCAGTCCCTCCCTGCCAGCCCTGCCAGGCCTGCCCAGCACCCTGTGCAGGAGATGCTGCAGCCTGTGCAGCAGGGCTGGAGCTGCCATCGGGGAGAGGGGATGGGCTTTGGGCATGCCACAGCTGGACAGGGGTGACATTCAGCACGCCCCCTCCCAGCCCAGAGGGAGCACAGGGCACGCTGCACCCCCCGAGGTAGGGGCCAGGGCTGGCAGGGTCAGGCTGCCCGGGGGAGAGGAGACGAGGAGAGGCTGCCGGAGCTTCATTAGGAGCCAGAAGACAGCAGCAATTAAGCGCAAGGTGCAGCAGACCCGGCTCTCTCCTCATTAGCACCCCGACACGCTCGGCTGCCCGCGGCTCGGGGCGCACGGAGCCGGGCGGGGGCTGCGCTGGGGCGGGCCGGGAGCGGATGAACCGCGGGCACCCAGTGTCCCCCAGCCCCCGGCAGCGTCCCACTGATGCACAGGGGACAGCGGCTGCCTCGGCAGGGCGTGCCCTGGGGACAGGAAAGGATGGTGCCACCCCAGGGTCCCCACGACGTCTCTGACACCATTCCCTGCCCCGCACCACTGTGGGGCTGGCCGTGCCCTGTGCCCGCGCTGTGCCTCCCTGCCCATCCCCCTGTCACCCCTGTCTGTCCCCCCTGTCTGTCCCTCTGTCCGTCCCCTCTGTCCCCCCTGTCTGTCCCCCTGTCCCCCCTGTCTGTCCCCCCTGTCTGTCCCCTCTGTCCCCTCTGTCCCCCCTGTCTGTCCCCCTGTCTGTCCCCCTCCGTCCCCCCGTCTGTCCCCTCTGTCCCCCCTGTCTGTCCCCTGTCCCCCCTGTCTGTCCCCTCTGTCCCCTCTGTCCCCCCGTCTGTCCCCCTGTCCCCCTTGTCTGTCCCCTCTGTCCCCCCTGTCTGTCCCCTGTCCCCCCTGTCTGTCCCCTCTGTCCCCTGTCCCCCCTGTCTGTCCCCCCGTCCCCCGTCTGTCCCCCCTGTCTGTCCCCTGTCCCCCCTGTCTGTCCCCCGTCCCCCCTGTCTGTCCCCTCTGTCCCCTCTGTCCCCTCTTCCCCCCTGTCCCCCCTGTCTGTCCCCTCTGTCCCCTCTGTCCCCCCTGTCTGTCCCCCTGTCCCCCCTGTCTGTCCCCTCTGTCCCCCCTGTCTGTCCCTCTGTCCCCCCTGTCTGTCCCCCCTGTCTGTCCCTCTGTCCCCCCTGTCTGTCCCCTCTGTCCCCTCTGTCCCCCCTGTCTGTCCCCCTGTCCCCCCTGTCTGTCCCCCTGTCCCCCATCTGTCCCATCTGTCCCCCCTGTCTGTCCCCTCTGTCCCCCCGTCTGTCCAGCCCGCTCCGACGGCTCAGCCCCACTCTGGACACCCGGCCCCACACGGCCCCGCATCCCCCGGTGCCCAAACCCCCAAACCAGCACCGGGCAGGGGCACCGGTCCCCGCTCACAGCCGGGGGTCACACCCGCACCCCCGGCCCCGCACGGCCCCGCAGCTCCGCCGAGGGGACAGGGATGCTCTGGGGACACAAGGGCAGGCTGGAGGTGGCACCAGGGCTGCAGGTGCACCGCACCCCCCGCTCGGCCCTGGCTGGCAGCAGGGCAGGACGAGCTGAGCCCGTGCCAGGCAGCAGCTGCCCGAGGCTGTGCCAAGCCACAGGACCCCAGTGCCATGCCGGTGCCCGTCTGCCGGGGGCTGCTCCCGCTGCGGGGCCTGGGGGGGCTGTGGGCACCCGCAGAGCCCCTCACCCCCCCAGGAGCCCTCCTCCGGCGAGCCTCATTGTCAGGGGAACAGGCAGTGTGAAATCGGTCTGATTAGCAATTAGTGCCATTGTAAAAGGATTAGCCGGACCCATTGTTTGGGAGAGTGACTTGACTGTCAATGGGCAGCTGGCAGCGGTGGTGAGGGTGGTGAGGATGGTGAGGATGGTGAGGATGGTGAGGGTGGTGAGGATGGTGAGGGTGGTGAGGATGGTGAGGATGGTGAGGATGGTGAGGATGGTGAGGATGGTGAGAATGGTGAGGATGGTGAGGGTGGTGAGGGTGGTGAGGGTGGTGAGGATGGTGAGGATGGTGAGGATGGTGCGGCCGGAAGCCATTCCCCGAGGCCGGACTCCCGGAATGAGCATCGACCCCCGAGATGAGCCTCGGGCCCCGAAATGAGCCCCACACACGGGTACACCCCCAGTTCGAGCAGCGCTGCCCATCCCATCCCATCCCATCCCATCCCATCCCATCCCATCCCATCCCATCCCATCCCAGCCGCAGGTGCCAGGCTGCCACCCCCGCCTGGGGGTACCCACGCGTGTCGGGGTGCAGGAGTGGGGCTGAGCTCCCCTCTGCGTGCCCCGGGCAGAGCAGGGTGCGGGGACACGAGTGCAAGAGCAGGTCCTGGCAGAGTGGGGAGAGCAAACGAGGCGCTCACATCGCTGTCACATCCCCGGCACCGCTCTGCTGTCCCCAGCGCTGCTGTCACCCCTCGCTGCTGGCTGCCCAGCACCGAGCCAAGCCCCAGCCCCCTCCTGTGTCCCTTTTGTGCCCCTCCTGTGCCCCTCCTGTGCCCCCTCCTGTGTCCCTTTTGTGTCCCTCCTGTGCCACTCCTGTGCCACTTCTGTGCCCCCTCCTCTGCCTCCTCCTGTGCCCCTCCTGTGTCCCTCCTCTGCCCCTCCTGTACCCCTTCCTGTGTCTCTCCTGTGCCCCCTCCTCTGCCCCTCCTATGCCCCCTCCTGTGCCACTTCTGTGCCCCCTCCTATGCCCCCTCCTGTGCCACTTCTGTGCCCCCTCCTGTGCCCCTCCTGTGTCCCTCCTGTGTCCCTCCTGTGCCCCCTCCTGTGCCACTTCTGTGCCCCCTCCTGTGCC